TAAATACCTTGCATTTTAAAACATCCACAACCAAAACTTTGGGGCACTGTGCTAAAGACTCTCAGGGGCCCCTTCCTCAGCTCTAAAACTTGAGTATTTCATTTCACAGGAGACTAGATTCAGTACTAAAAATTAAACATGAATCTTAAGGGTATAGACAGTTAATAAAATGTGAAAGGTGGAACAAGACAGTCCTTATGAATCTCAACATAAAGACTTTGGGTTTTTTGTTGTTGTTGCTGTTGTTGTTTTGGTTTTGGTTTTTCCCCCGAGGCAGGGTTTCTCTGTGGCTTTGGAGCCTGTCCTGGGACTAGTTCTTGTAGACCAGGCTGATCTCAGCCTCACAGAGATCTGCCTGCCTCTGCCTCTGCCTCTGCCTCTGCCTCTGCCTCTGCCTCTAGAGTGCTGGGATTAAAGGCGTGCGCCACACCGCCTGGCTAAAGACTTTTTTTTTTTGATAAAACTTTAAAGCAGAGGTCCTCAACCTGTGGGTCATGACCCCTTTGGCGAATCTTTATCTCCGAAAATATTCACATTATGATTCATAGCAGTAGCAAACTTACAGATTATGAAGTAGCTACAAAAATAATTTTATGGTTGGGGGGTCACCAGAGCATGAGGAACTGTATTAAAGGGTGGCAGCATTAGGAAGGTTGAGAATCTGTACTCTAGATCATAATATTTGCATTTTGACTACTAATAATATTATATAGATTATAACTCTTTATGGTAATTATTTGCAAAATAGGTTGTAGTGGTTGTGTTTTGTGCATAAAATTTCATAATAAGTTAAGAATTGTGGGAGATTCTCGTGTGCTAACTTTAGCTGACAATATACATGCTTACAAGATTTTTGTCTGTTAATTCTTTTCAAGTAAAACTGTGCCATAAAATTAGCCCCTTCAAACTGAAAGTATGAGATAATCATATTATTTTTACTGAGTCACATTATCATAAAATAAATGGAACACCTTTTTAAATATTTTTTTAATACTATTCTTTTTTTTCCCAAGACAGGGTTTCTCTGTGTAACTTTGGAGCCTGTCCTGGAACTAGCTCTTGTAGACCATGCTGGTCTTGAACTCACAGAGATCTGTCTGCCTCTGTCTCCCAAGTGCTGGGATTAAAGGTGTGTGCCACCACTGTCCGGCTTATTGAGAGAGAGAGAGAGAGAGAGAGAGAGAGAGAGAGAGAGAGAGAGAGAGTGAATGTCTAGTGCACTTGTGTTGGATCCCACCTACTTAAAGTTACAAATGCTTGTGAGCTGTCCTACACTGGGTTCGGGGAGGCAAACTTGGATCCTCGGGAAGAACACCAAGCGCACTTAACCACTGTGGCATGTCTCCAACCCCAAACTTAACACTTTTAAAACTAAGATGCCTATCATTTACATTATAGCAACACTAATATGGTCATCATTGTCAAGCCTTTAGTAGAAAAGTATAAAGTATATTTATTCTCATCTTCTAAAAAATGTCCTTCATTCCTTAAATGTTTCCTTACGCTAGTACTAGACAGAAGCTGGCAAAACCAGAGAGTCTATTATAATTTTTATGGTGTCTGTGAGAAGTGTCTTTTCGGGGGGAAAAGAAAGCTATCATGTCTTTCTCAATGCTAACAGACACATAGCACACTTCCAGTTGATGCTAAAAGACACAGCACACTGTCAGTCAATGATAACAGACACATAGCATACTTTCAAAGACATTACAGACACATAGCATACTTTCAGGGACATTAACAACACACAGAGCTTCATAAGCAATTTAGTGGGAGACTATGGGCAATAGGTTTGTGGCTGAATCAGAGGCAAGATGATTGCCATTTAATGATGTAATCATAGGAATGAAGGTATTAATTTTAGAGATAAAAGATCAATCAACACATCTATGGGAAGACTACAGAAACATACCTTATGGGTACAACTCTTGCACCTGCAGCCTCTATATACTTCACATAGGATGCAGCAATGTAGTATTTTCCCAACTTTCTCATTTCCTTCGTATGGCATTTTTGCATTAATATTCCTAAATTTTTTAAAAAAATGTATTAATTTTAAGCAATTTCATTTATTTGTTACTCACAACTGATCCATGGCAGAGCTTAAAAATCACTACCTTGGTTTCTCAGTTCACAGACCTGCATCTCCTGCAAGTCTACCCATAGTCATTGGGAAAGCAGTGGAGGATGAAGATCTGAATTTCTTACCACACCAGGAATGTTTAAAAATCCCCCAAAATAAGTTTATAGTAGCCCAAACTTTCTTCACACAATCTTAGACTATCCATACACAATGCACTGAATCTATAAGGTATCAACCTCTTCCCCACAAAACCACAGTTGTACCCTTGTCAGCAAAGCCAGAGTAGAAATACCATTCCTCTCCATCTCTCTAATGCCAATCTTAATCTAAGTAAGCAGCATTTGACAAACCCATCTCAGACTACTAGGAGGTCTTTATTCTTTCTTAATGAACCCTCAAACTTAAGCTTTTCCAGAGAAATAAAGCTGACACCATAACCATTCTCTCATCCAGTCAGTATTGTTTAATCATACTGCATGCCAGACACTGAACTAGGTGCTAAGGGCTCAGGAATAAAAGAAAAAGAAAAATCTCCAGCCTGAAGGTTTTATTGGTAGTAGGCAGAAGAGGAAAGAGGTAAGACAAATACAGAGATTTATTTTTAGATCCAATTATGAGGACTGGTGCTTGTATTATGAAGGAAGTCAAAGAAATAGATTTACAATGTCTCTTACACAGGGTGGCAAGTCCTCCCTGGGAAGGTAGAACCAGACTTCAGACAGGTGGAGCTGAGAGGGAAGATGCAATGTGAGACTTAATCCAAAGCATCAGTGAGGTGGTGCAAGACCCACACACCCACATCTGGAAGAAGAGCAACTCGGGGCAGAAGAACAGTACCAAGCCAAGGTCATGAGGCAGCTGGTCACTCTGCAAGAAGTCCATCAAACTGGAAACATGTGAGAGAAAGCAAGAAGGCAACAGTTAATGAGACGGAGAAACGCAGGCTAGTAGGGGCTACCATCTTCATACCTCAGAGGTTACTGGACTTCATAAGCTCTGTGACTTCAAGTTCTATCTCTCTCATCTCTCTTATTTCCTCCTACCAAGGAAACCCAAGTCTAGCACAGCACTGACATCCAACATACAGGAAGCATGACAGCATAGGCTTAATGTATACAATGTCTTGAGTCCATCCCTGGCCTCCAAAAAGAAAACAACAACAAAGTATCGCATCTGCTCATTGACTATCATGCCCCTGTGTGTCAATATTTCATTTTAACTGTCTCAGAGGGATACAACACCCACCATTTAATCACATCTGTATTCTTACCATCTTACAATACTTGACACAAATCACTAGTGAACATCAAATGTTAAAATCAATCTAGTAAGAATGTTTCTCTCCCCACCCCATTAGGTAAGACAGTCTTCACAATGGAAAATGAAATTAGGCTAAGAAGAGTACAGGAGAGTCATGGGAAACTGAGTGAGGTAAAGCAGGAGGGGAGGTACAACAAGGACAGCAAACAGAATCGTGTGAACGTAAGTGCCTTCAACAGTAAATTAATTCCACCATCACACCCCAGCCCATTCAGTTTTCCCATTCCCAAGCAAAGAGCTAACTGCATGCCCTGTCCCTCAACAGTGCCCCAAGTGCCTCATGCACTTTAGGCTGTCTCTCTTCTGTGGCTTCCTTGTCTTTGAATCCTTTGTGGTTCCTAAAGCAATAGCTTAGGCATACTATGTGCTCAGTCAACTGTATTATCTTATTGATTAGGTAGAGGCGGCTTTCAAGATGGTTTAGCAGTAGGTACAGGCACTTGATGCCTAGTCTAAGGACCTGAGTTCAATCCCAGGACCCACATGGAGAAAAGAGAAAACTGACTCTTAAATTTGCCTTCTGGGGGCTGGAGAGATGGCTCAGGGGTTAAGAGCACTGACTCTTCTTCCAGAGGTTCTGAGTTCAATTCCCAGCAACCACATGGTGGCTCACAACCATCTGTAATGTGATCTGGTGCCCTCTTCTGACACGCACTGTATACATGATAAATAAATCTTTAAAAACAATAAAGTATAAAAATGCCTTCTGACCTCCATAGGTACCTGTGACAAATACGTACATACCTAATAACTATAAATATAAAAGAAAAATAACTTCACACACAAAATGACTATAAATATAAAAGATGCAACGGATCAGGTTACCCAAAAGCATACTTATTTTGCCATTTTCAACTGAAAGTTGCCTCAAATCTAAGAAACAAAAATGAATCCTTTGTCATCTTTTTCTTTTCCCAAAATCCACAAGTAAAATTCATATGTTACATGATTCAACTTGAAGAATCTAACCATCACTGGAAATAGCTATGGAAGAAGGGTTCCAAATATTAGTAAGCAACCCATTTGAAAACTGGGTCCCTCCTAAATACAATAAAACAATTTTCTAGTTTCTGTTCAGTGGTCACCCATATATAATACAACCTATGTGTGTCTATTTATAAACTTATTTTGTCAAATTTTAACTACAGGCTGATTTCTCCTTGGTAGTTTTTCAAATGTCTGACATGCATGCAAACCAATTTTACCCTGTTTAAAACACAAATATGCTGGAAACTATTACATGCTTTATTTTAAATAGAACTGACATTCATATCCTCAGAGCCACTGCTGTCACTTGATTGGCAAAGTCCAAGACACATTTTAATTTCTTACCTATTCCATTTTTATATTTAATGTATTGTATCTTCATATATGTCAGCAAATAAAGAAATCTGAGTAAATTTAACCATGTGCAGAATTTCTGGGACAGGAAAGGCAGGGACAATGGTGGGGACACGGGGCAGGAAAAGAAAACTTCACACTGAAGTCTGGATAAATCCTCCCACCAGCCTGCACTCAAGAATAAATTAACATTTTTAAAGGCCTTTCTCCCTTCTCTACCGGGAACCTTAAATTTTCTAGGAGTTTCATTAGGAACTTCATTTGCAGTAAGACACATCTTAACCCCTTGCTCAACCCCAGTAGTTCCGGGTTTTATCCAATTCAGAGCACCTCTTGTCCTATTTCTTGTCCTATTTATAATCTTAATTTTCTTTGTAGGAAAGAGAACAGGAATGGAGGGGAGTGCAGTCCTGTGGAAACCTCTTTAACAATGACCACTAGGTCATTGGAAGCGGAGTCTTCTCTGAAAAGACACACCAGGCTCTCCAGTGCGCTTCCTTCTTAAACTGAGAGCCTCTCTTCCCACTTTTG